GTCACATTTTGTAAATATTTAAGTATATCTTTTCATGTGACAACACTGAAGAAATGACACTTGGCTACAATTTAAAGTAGTGAGTATATAACTTGTATAACAGTGTAAATGTGCTGTCTCCTCAAAATAATGCAACACACAGCCATTAATGTTTAAACCCCTGGCAACAAAAGCGAGTATACCCCTAAGTGATAATGTCCAAATGGGGCCCAAGTAGCCGTTTTCCCTCCCTGGTGTCATGTGACTCCATAGTGTTACAGGGTCTTAGGTGTGAAGGGGAAGCAGGTATGTTAAATATGGTGTTATCGCTCTCACTCACTCATACTGGTCACTGGAAGTTCAACATGGCACCTCATGGCAATGAACTCTCTGAGCATCTGAAAAAATGAATTGTTGCTCTACATAAAGATAGCCTAGGCTATTTTGGCTATCTAAGATTGCCAAAACCTTGAAACTTGAGCTGCTGCATGATGGCCAAGACCATATAGCAGTTTAACAGGACTGGTTCCACTCAGAACAGGCCTCGCATGGTTGACCAAAGAAGTTGAGTGCCCGTGCTCAGCATCATATCCAGAGGTTGGCTTTGGGAAATAGACATGTGAGTGCTGCCAGCATTGCTGCAGAGGTTGAAGGGGTGAGGAGTCAGCCTGTCAGTGCTCAGACTATACGCCACATGCTGCATCAAATTGGTTGTCTCAGAAGAAAGCCTCTTCGAAAGATGATACATAAGAAAGCCCACAAACAGTTTGCTGCAGACAAGCAGACTTAGAACATAGATTTGTGGAACCATGTCCTGTGGTCCGCTGAGACCAAGACATTGGACGTTAATGCAACAGATTAGTTGCTTACTTGGAGTATCTTCATTCAAAAAGAACTTTAGAAACAGTCTCATACCAATGAGCTTAAGAGAGGTGTTCGTGAATTTGATGGGTTGCTGAAAAATCCTTGATGGGGAATTAGATATTCATCTGCATCCACAATATCTTCCATGTCTTCTTCTTCCATTAGACTCCGGTAAAATTTGGAATCTGTTGGGCTGGGCAGGTGCATTCTTTCATCTCCCTACTCAGAAACAAATTCCAATTAGGATGAATAACTGAACCTTCTATAACATTAAGTTTTATTACAACTTGAGTGTTAAAATATTACTCTAAAATATTCACCAACCAACAATAAAATATAAATTTAGACTGAGATGAAGAATGGTTCTATATTCTTGGGAAATACTATAAATTACTCTAAACATATAAGGTACTTTATCCATTTGTTCACCATTATCTGAGAAGAAAAACCCTTAGACAATGACTCCAGAGAAAATATGGAACCCACCTGAAATGTTTTGATTCCATATACATTATTCAGATATTTAGCCAAAGCAGAAAATCCTGAATTTTCTACCTAAAGTTGTTTTTGTCTTATTTCTTTGGTAATAAAATTCTGTAGGGAATTGAGAGGTGCTTAGGGAGATTTATTCAGCTTATTCAATGTCTCTTTCTGTATGAAAATAGGTTAAAATGGAACATTTTTCTCTCATTCTTAGTTTTAAAATAAAACTCTTTTTCCATAAATTTGAAATTATAATTTTCTTTGTATTTATTACGTATCTGGATTGAACGTAATCTGTGACCCAAGAGCATTGGTATGCAGCTTTTTAGATCAATATATGCCATTATAATATATTTCTTTCAAAGTATTCTTTAAGTTTAAGTTGGGATTACAAAGTGCTGATTTAGATAGTCAGAATCAGTCCAAGTGTATTGAATACAAAATATTGTTTAAAATGAAACTGACATATTTGTATCTTTGCTTTTAGATTTAGAAATGACTATTATTTTACTGATTTTACTGACCTACTTAAAATTTCAAAACAGTTTGATACAACTTGTCCATTTAATTTTTAAAAAATTGGAGCACATTGTATCATTTTGCTTGAAAAAGTGAACACCATGTTATATTCATGCTCAGCACCTGTATGACGAGATAGCGTTGTGGATCTCGAGCCATTTTGGAGAATTCTGCTATTAACTCCCTGAATTTAGGACGACTCTCTGCATCAATCATCCAACCTGTGATAATAGGAACAACACAAACAAGTTATCGGGGAAATGGCCATAAAATGTTAAAGGACAGAATCATTTGCCAGGAAACAGGTAAATTATAAAAAAGACTGTAAATTATGTATCATAACACTGATTCTGAAACTATCATTATAAATACTCTATATAATAAAATTACAAGTGTTGAATGAAAATCTGATGGCATATTACAGTGTCTTTGTATTTAGATTTCCCCTTCATGAATACCATGAAAAAATTGGAAAAATTGAAATATCTTGAAGATATTTCAAATATCTTGAAGAGTTGGAATAATCTTTGCTTTTTCCCATTTCAGGTTACAGTGCAAGACATGGCAGAGAAAATCAAGAGAGAAAAAATAGAGATATGAACAGTGCCTACTTTCTTTGGGTTCCTGATGGCCCTTAAGATTTGGATCTGGGTCCAGAATTATGTGTTCAGAGGACCTTCTGCTGCTGTTACTATTATGGCACTTTTTCTCTGGGATGCTGTCTTATTTTTTTTAATAAAGTTTTATTGAGTTTTAACAAAACAAATAAAATATCTTATTTGAGTACAGCATAGTTCCGGGTTATCACATTTCCATACAGACACAATTTCATATGCATATTCATCTTATGTATTCAACTTCATATCTTATTACTCTTTTTCCAACTTCTCACTATTTCTCCCTTTAATTCTCTTAATTTTCTTTTATGGTTATCTCATTTTCTTCTTATTCAATTGTATTTCTTTTACCTAAATTTCTGTATCTTTTTATTCATTGTACTTATACTTTCGTCTGTCTTGTTTACAAATTTCATATGTTCTCTTCCAACAATCTTAAGAAGCAAAATTCCCAATTGCCAATCGAAGTGCAACACCTTTAAATCTTATTGTTATTATCATATGAAATCTCATTAAACATTGAATTTGTGCATTCTAAAATTATAACATTCAAATTTCTAATATCTATTTTATATCATGTAGATCTCATCATTCAGACTCTGCTTGGTACTTCCCCCTTGAAAATGTAAAAAGAAAAATTCTAAAAACATAGCAAGAACAATACACCCACCCCCACACACACACACACACATTAGTAAACAAAATAGTTATTCAAAATCATTCTAGTACTGGTATGAACCTTGTAAATCTTTCATGTTTCTTTTCAATATCTATCAATCTTTGAGAACAATTGAAATGTTTTCCTCCCTTCTTCATTATTACTTAACTGTTAATAAGCATACTACTGGATAGTTATACAGTTTTATCTTATAAATTATTTACTATTAGTAAGCAAAATAATTATTCAAATTCATTCTAATAACTGGTATAAATCTTTCACGTTTCTTTTCAATATTTTATCAATCTTTAGAAACAATTGCAATGTTTCCCTCTCTTCTTTATTATTGCATTAATTATAAAAAAACATATCATTACATAACAATACAGTTTTATCTCATAGATTATTTACTTATTTCATTTCTAACACATTACAGTATTCTACTGTCACAACACTATCTTTTGTACCTTTGCAGAATCCTGACTTTTAACTTAATTTAACCATTGTTTGTGTTTTCTAGCTGAACAAATACCTTTAATCCTAGTACGTTTCCCCTTTTTCTTCATTTCCTGTTTTTGTCCCTCATAAGTTCTTTCCCTTTCTATCTTTCCCGCCTTTTTCTCATCCCTTTTTTGTACCCTTCTCTCTCTAATTTTCCCTTCGGTAGTTTTCTTTTCTGCTTCTCCTTGCTGTTATACTTCTTTTTCAGACTATTTTTCTTTTTGGCTGTTCCCTTTAATCTCAAACTTTTAACTCCTTTCCCCCTTTTTCCCCTTATTACCACACTTTGCATTATTTGATCATTGAAAATGGCTTCTTCTTTGTCCCGCCCTTCTTCTTGCTCTTGAAGCTTTTTCTTTTGCTTTTCATAGTTCAGGATCTCCATTTCAAAAAATTCAAAAGGATCTTCCTCCCCTTTCTGCATCTTCTTTCTGTTTTTTAAGACTCATCTTCAATTCCTCCGGGAGTGATGGCATTTTAAACACTTTTGAACAACCGCCCGATTGACTTTAAGTAAAAACAGAAAAAGAAAGAAAAAACCAATGCCAAAAACATTTTTTTAAATCACCAAATGATCCCAGACTTGTTTCTTTCCTTCTTGTTTCTTTCCTTTACTTTTCCTTTCTCTGTGTTACTGTATCGTTTAATAAGATTTCAGTTACAATGTATCCTTGGGAGTCTTTTCAAAGTTTCACTGTTAATCCTCTTTATTTTTCCAGGCGGCACTCCATTTTTCCAAGTCCTACCCTTTTGCCTCCACTCTTCTCCTTTTTAAGGCTTTAAAATGACCAAGAAAAAATCTTTATTCTCCTTTTGACACTTAGATTTCAGCTTAAGGTTGCCTTTTAGTGTCAAAATACATTAATATAAATTTCTTTCCATACCATTTGTAATTGTCAATATAAAGGTAAAAAAAGGGTTTTTAACCTCCTTTTCTCTCTCCTTCGCCGCTTAGATTCAGGGTACTTTGCTTAGATGTTCTCTGTTGTTTAGCCCGGTCTGTCCTGCTTTCCTCTTTTTCTTCCTCCTGCACAATCTTATCCAGTCAGGTTCTTCTTTGAGGTGGCCATTTCTGACCACCACTGCAACCGCCTTCGGGGGAGTTTAGACCAGCTGAGGAGAGATGCGGCTCCACTCCACTCAGCTAGCAATCTCCCCCCACTTCACCACCTCTAGGGGGTGGCTTCAGCCCCAAATCCAAAGGATCAGGGTGCTCCAGTGGCAAACACAAATCAAAATTATTTTTATTGTTTCCGTAGATTTTGTAAGCTGTGGCTATATATTCCTCCAGGAGAGCAATGCTGAACTAAGATGTCTTGGAATGAGCAGAGATTATGACCACAGCAAACACTGAACAACCAGAAGGTGGACCCAGGGAAGTTCCCTGGATAAAGGAAGTATGGGAGATTGCCCATTTGTGCTCTTGATGGCTACTCCTACAAACAGTTCTTTCACATGGTTTGAGTGCTGGGAGACAAAAGGAATTATAGCATGGCAGAGCCTTTTAAATGACATTAAGCTCACTTTCTAATCACTTTTGGAAATTTCCTGAATAACTATTTAAGGATTTTAGAGATTTTCAAAATGACAAATTGAAAAGACAATAAAACAAGTTAGAACAAAATCTGTAGCACCATGATTTGATAAAGTATGTATGCTGCTATGCATACATTTAAAACAAAAATAATACAAAAAGGTAACCTAGAAATGAAGCTTTGTGCTTTGATGTAGTCAATGGACTAGCTGTAATTTCAAGCATATCATCAACATTCATAAGTCCTATCTACCCATTGGTTTACACATCAACAACTGAAAGATTTAAATTATATAAAAAGAGTTATGAGTATGATTTTGTTAACACTGAATTGGAAATCTTACTGTGTGATAGTGATGAACATATTATTGCTATGATTTTTAAAATGTTACTGAAATTAAATTTGAAAAGTGAACATGTAAAACATTGTATGATTCAGTGGGCAAGGAATTTTGGATATAATGTGATGTTTGAACAATGGAAAAATATGTGGACAAAAGATTTAAAATTTACAGTAAACTATAATTTAAAATAACATTTCTATAAGATGATGTATTATTGGTATTTAACAGCTAATAAGTTATCTAGAATGAATAAAGGTATTTCAAATAAATGTTGGAAGTGTCATTTATGGTAGACATGTGATAAAGCAAAGAAATTTTGGAGTAAGAAGTGGTATTCAGCAGGTTCTGACAGTTCAGGAAACCGGTAGCGGAAATTTTGAGTAGTTCGGAGAACCAGCAGATACCACCTCTGACTAGAAATTTTACAGTATTCTTCCCCTGCTATGCCCACCAAGCCATGCCCACAGAACCAGTAGTAAAAAAATTTGAATCCCATCACTGGTAAGGTTCATATTTTAATACAGAAAATTCTTAAAGATGAAACAAGAAACTTTTCTTTTGGATTTAATGGAAAAAGACTTGGAGAAAAAATTTGGAAGTTTGATCTTATGTATGTTGACAGCAGCAAGACTACTGTATGCACAAACATGGAAGGGCTTTTCGATTCCCACCATGGATAAATGGCTACAGAAGCTGATGAGGCTGCAGAAATGACTAATTTGACCGTTTTGATTAAAGAAAAGAATATAAGTACTTTTGTTGCCACATGTGTTGTTTGATATTAATGCTTTATTTTTTCCTGAAACAGGAGAAGGAAGTCAACACTTTTTTTTCTTTCTCCCGTCTGCCCTCACTTCTATTTCCCCTTCTCCTCCCCCCCACTGTGTCTTCTTATTTGCTTTTGTATTTTATATTTTATTGTATAATATAATAAAATGTTTAAACAGCATAAATCCTGTCCACCCAAAAGCTTTAATAGTTTATTGACAATATTAGTATCTATTTTTTTAGACTAAAGTTTTGCAAAGAACTAACAATCTTCATTTGAATTTCCAAAATGTATTTATTTATTGGTTCAGCTTTGAAAGTATCAGCAGACTAAATTGTCCAAAATTCAGAATGAAGTGTTTTTGTGCCACCTTGTGGGCTATTTGTAAATATTTTTAACTGTCTAGAAAAAATTATTACAGCTAGTCAGAATCCTAGTAAAATTCATATACAAAAATTCTTTTTTTTCCAATAAATTTTTTATTTTTATATTTTAAAAAACATCTCTTTTGGTTGTTCCAGGTTTTTACATTTCAATACAAACATGACTATAATTACATATTCATCTTTTGTATTCCATTCCATTTCATATTATTACTCATTCCATGTTCCTTTAAATATTCTCAAATATTCTTATATTCATTACACTTATTTTATCCAATTCATATCATAACTTATTTCATTTTTTCTTTAAATATTCTCATATTTTTTTGCAATATTATCTAAAATTTTTACTTCATTTCTATATTAATTACATATATATACTTTTATCTGTCACATTTGCACTTTTTTCCATCCTAATTCTAATAATCCAAAAGTTGTCCCTTTTAATTGTCAATTCAAGTTTGCCACCGCTTTGCCTTATACATTCCCCCAATTTATTCTCTTTAATTCCTTGTGAAGATTTACCATTTTTAATGAACAAATGGTGCAACATAGGTTAAAATGGAAAAATGGGGAAAAGGGAATTAAAAACTTGAGATTAGAGGAAGCAATTAAGAAAAAGAAGAGTTTGAAAAGCAAACAAGATACTAGGAAGAAGCAGAAGGGAGGATTGCAGAAGGGAGAATTAGAGGAGGGGGACAAAAACTGTGATGAGAAAAAGAGGGGGAAGATAAATGGGAAAAGAAGTTATAAGAGACAGAAACAGGGGAAACGAACAAGAATAAAAGGTATTCGTTTATTTAAAAGACACAGAGATAATGGTTAATAAGATAAACTAAAAGAGAGGATTCTGCAAGGATACAAGAGGTAGTGTAGTTATATCAGAGATAATAAGGTAAAAAATAGAAAATATAGGTGATCAAAGTGAAACATGAAACTGGTATTGTTAAGGAATGGAATATTTACTAATATTTAAATTAAATAAAGAGATAAATGGAATAAAAGTGAAAGAAGAGAAAATAAGAAGAAAATAGCAATTAAGGGTATTTTATTGAAATAAATTATGAGGATTATTGTAAAAGACTATATTAACTATGTTTAATGATCTACATAATATAATTGAAATGAATTGTGAAAGATCTGTAATGAAATCAATATCAGTTTTTAGGAGGAATCTGAATAGATTAACTATGTTATCTAGTGTTTGCATTTTTTTCCCTTCTTTTTGAAATCTAAAGTGTATTGGAGGAATTTAAAGAGAAAGTACCAAGCGGAATCTGTTTGGAAAGAGATATATGATATAAAATAGTTATTAGAAGTTGAATGTTATAATTGATTAAGGGGATACTGTATAAATCAAATGTTTAATGGAATTTGAAAGGGTAATAATTATAAGATATAAAGGTGACATACTCTATTGGGTAATTGTAGAGGAAACCTTGCTTTTTTTTCTTTCTCTTTCCGGAATGATGATGGAAAAAAAGAATATACAATGAAATGGTAAACAGATAAAAGTACAAGTATAATTACTATGAAAATATGGAAATTTGGAAAAGGATATGTAATAAAATTAGAAAGGAATGAGAAGTTGTAAAATAAAGCAGAGGAAAGTAAATGAAGAAAAAATTAATGAAATCTATATAGTAGTGATAAGATATGAAATTGAATATAGAAAGATGAGTATATAATTAAGATTATATCTGTATAGAGATGTGACGACCTGGAAACCTTGTTCTCTAAAAAAGATGTTTTATTTTTTAATATGTTTTTTAAAAAACCCAAATAAAATGTTTAGAAGAAAAGAAAAATACAACTTTTGTATTTCTCTGCTTGAACATTTCAGTTAGGTGAATTGAACATATCTGATTGGTTGTGGCTGATATCTCATATCCACTGATGAACAACATCAGCATGTTCTTCAGTGTTAAAGGAACTCAACTGGTTTCCAAATTATTTCCAATCATAATTCAGACTGATTTTCTATATATATCAAGCCTGTCTTTGGTCTCGGTATCTGAAGGATTGCTTTTTCTCTGTCCTTCCAACTGAGATAATAATTTACAGGTCTTTTTGATACATTCTGTGTTTTTACAATTTAGTTACTAGTTTCTAAAGAAACCAATATTACAGTGATGTGTACAGTTATTTTTCATACTTCGGCTATTCTGCATTTCCTACTACAGAAATACTGTAGATTTCTTAATTCTCTCATTATGATAGATACTGAATTATTATGATAGATACTGAATTATTACTGATTATTTTTTAAAATTATTCTTATTGAACAATTTTACCACTGGATCCTCCAGAACAATTTTGTATCACTGTAATTAACAATTTTGTAATACTGAGTAATAACACACCTCAAAGCAGTCAATGTACATTGTAGTTTGATAGGGACTTAAATTTGGGTCCTCTTGTTCTAATCCAAATTTTCATTACTACGCATATTGTGTATCTTTGCAATTGGATAAATCAATTATTTTCCTTTTCAAGCTACTTTTTTTTTGGGGGGGGGGAGTTCTTTATTAATGGAAGTGGTTGATGAATGAATAATCAATTGTTCATAAGAACCATCAGCCTTCAATTTGATAGCATTGTATATAGAGAATATGGAAGAATATGAATAAGATTAATCCACCTAAAACTATACATTTCTTTGTACAGAAGCAGAAGACAGGATTATGCCAGAAAGATTACAATATGTAAATTGTAACTATGGGCAAAGTTAGCTGTATTAGAAGAATCAATATTCTATTTAAAGCAAACAAGTCAAAGTAATTTGGCTTGTTAGATAAGAATGACTTACATTTGACCATGATCATATACACATCAATTGTACATATGGGGGGCTGAGGCAATCGCTCTCCTTTCTCCAAGACAGAGGAAATTTCACTGGCTGGAATACCATCATATGGTTTAGATCCAAATGTCATTAATTCCCAAACAGTGACACCTGAAATGTAGAAAGTTGAAAGGCTCATCCAGTAAACTAGAAAGGCAAATACTAATAGCATGTAATAACTTTATTATTTGCTCAAGGGACAAGTTTCAGTGAATTGAAGACATTATTAATGATTTCAAGCATTAAGGGCTCATTACTATTTGTTTTCCAATCAACATGGAGGAAAAGTATTTTTACAAAGAATGAAATTATTTTCTAATGTTACATTTCACAAAAGTAAAACTGCTTTCAACACTATTCAAATTCTCTAAAGCATCACTTTATAATCTGTACCCAATACATTCTTCTTTTTAGGGTAAATTTAGGTAGAAAAATCATAGTCTTAGACAAAAATACTTTTTATTTTATTTATTTATTTGATTTGTCAATCGCTTATAAGATAATAGGAATAAGTATAAACATGAGTAAGAATACAGGAAATAGGTACGAATAAATGGGGACAATAGGATAGGGATGGTAGGCACGATTGTGCACTTATGCACGGCCCTTACAGACCTCTTAGGAATGGGGTGAGGTCAATAGTGGATAGTTTAAGGTTAAAGGAATGGGGGTTAGAGGATGTAACAACAGAGTCAGGTAGTGCATTCCAGGCATTGACCACTCTATTGCTGAAGTCGTACTTTCTGAAATCAAGTTTGTCTTAAATTTTTGTCTTAAATTTTCTCAAAAATAGTCTTAACACAGTTTTTGAACTGGTTTTGTTTTAATTTAATGAACCAATAACAGTTTGACAGTATTTTGAACTGGCACACGCAGCCAAATTTCTTTTTTTTCTTTTTGTAATATATGGAATTTATAACATAGGCTGCTGTGTATAAATTTGGAGATGATCACTAGCAGTATAATGGGCTGCAAGAAACAGTCCTGGATTTTCAATAATCAGAAACTTTGCGGGGGGAAATATCCACATAAAAATTACTGAAAAGCTGATGGCATTTAGGGCTTGTTTCACTAAGAAACTCAACTTCAGATTGTTAAGCCTGTATTTTCAATAGTATTTATTTATCTGATCATTGAACTTGCCATCCAAGTTTCAAATGATAGGTCTGAAATCACTTACTGAGCAGTATAATTTGGATTGTGAGTTAAACCTGGATCCCAGTCCAACATTTTAATTACTACATACATGACTTTCAATCAAAGATGCACTCCCTGCCATAATATTTCTTTTGAAGAAACACAGATATGTCGGTAGATCCATAGTTTCATCTTACTATTTTATACTATTTATGCTTTTGCTTAGAGAGGTACATAACAAAACCATGATTGTTGATTAACTGTTGAACTTTCTTCCTTTCCTGGCATAATTTAGAATCCCAATGGCTTATACTGTTTGCATGTTATTTACTGCCTACTCCAAATTGTTTGGACAAACACAGTGAAACTTTGTCCTTCTTCAGATAATATATCTATGCATGGGGAATATTTAAAAACACATAACTGAATGCTTCTTTATGCAAAAAAAAAAAAAAAAAAGCCAAATCCAAACCACAATCTCCTTCCACACATACTGAACAAAAGAAGTTTGACAGAATGATCCAAAATTTGCTTCCATTAAAAACCATCCATTATATTAATGTTGTGCTCTTTGGAGAGGTGCAATTCCATAAAATTATCCCTCTGTCTCTACAAGAAGAAATATTATAGAGCAAGGCTTGCAAATCAGCTCAGTGACCAATTTAGAATCAGCCCACCACATTTTTACACATACCAAAACTCCAAACATCACTCTGGTGGGTATAAATGCGATGCAAAATTGACTCCAAAGCCATCCATTTAATTGGAACCTAGAAAGAGGTTAGAACCATTGTAAGCAGATTAGAACAATAAAGTTCATTATTTTTTTAAATATGACAGTATGTGGTAATGCTTGCAACTGGTTATAGTATACATAAGTATCATACTTATATAACTTAAAACTACTGCTCAAAATATGAAAAGTTGAAAGAAGCATTGCCAGAAAAAAATGCTCATATGTATTTTTACAAAATATAGGGGATGGGATGTGCTTTTTATGTTGTGAATTTTTAATGTTGTAAGCCACCTGCTGTCACCTATGTGTGAGTTGAGTGATAGCCATGAACTATTTATAAATAAATAGTTCTACAATTGAGAATTGTAAAACTGTTTTGATAGAGATGGTCACAGATGATGGCATATTTCTCAATTTAAAATTCCTGCATAGTTTTTGACTTATCCTCAGGAAGAAGTAATGTCTTTCTCAGCATTCAAAGTGCAACTTGCTGTACTCATGTTACATCTCTATTCAGTATGGTTCAATGACTTCTAGTGTTCTTCTGGGTGCAATTTTGGAGGTACTGGTTGTCACCTATAAAGCTGTTCATGGCATAGCAATTTGTGGGATGGCCGCCTCTTCTTACTAGATCAAAAAGTCAGTAAAAAAAATATTGTGGGACTCAGGAAGCAAGGTTTTTCTGCTTGCTGTGCCTGCCTTCTGGAACATGACTTTCCCCTGGAGAGTAGATTGGCATAAATCTTACTGACTTTTGGAAGACCCTCAAGATATGCATATGTTCCTAGGATTGGGGTTCCTAGGCTTGTTAGGGTCCGTATCATTTAATTGGTTTGGCTCCTTGGCTATATTTATTTATTTGAATCCTGCCTTTATGTTGTAAGTCATTTTTTATTTGTTGAAAGCTGCCTAGAATCAGTCTCTTTGAAATGACAGGTTATGTAAACCAACCAGCAAACTAAACAAACAAGCAAACAAACAAATAAAATATAACGTCTATATTTCTAAGCTTGACCTATTACAGATAGTTTTACACATACACACACACACACACACACACACACACACACACTCCAAAGTCACTGAAAACTGAACTTCAGTATCTGAAAACTCAACATTGTATTAAAAAAACCAGAAGGGAGAAATAAGTTGATGCTCTTACTTTGCCTCCTTCAGCATGATACTCCTTCTCTTCTGCACCAAGTAATTTGGCCAAACCAAAGTCTGTGATCTTTACATGCTGGGGAGTCTTAACAAGGACATTTCTAGCAGCCAAATCACGGTGTACCAAACGACGTTCCTCTAAGTAATTCATTCCCTAAACAGGTTAACAGTTAAAGCATGTTACTGTACCACATAATATCTATAGCCACATTACAGAAAATATTAAGAAAATGAATTTTGTACTTACAGAATATTGAGGCAGTCACAATAAAGCAGTTGCTTTTTCAGAAGTATGGAAAAATGAGTGCATGTGCAGAGCAAGAATATTTTAATATATATTAATTAAAAACACATTCCTGGTACTCCTGGTTGTGGTTAAGCAATCTCCTGGGTTGGGCATGGAGCAAAAGATCTGCTTGTCAAATTCAGTTTCCCACAGTGTAGAGAAGAAATAACTCTAGCAAGCTACAGGAATGTATTTGAGTTAAGATACATTTCTGCAGCTTGCCAAAGCAAATACTTGAGAGTTTGAGCTCCATTTCTGCACCCTGCTGGAGGAGCTCAGTTTCCTTCCATTCATAGAAAACGACTGTTCCAACACACTACAGGAGTGGAGCAGGGATATTCCAGATGTCTGATTCTGCTAGAGTATTTCAGCTTCCTTCTGCATGTGTAAGAGAAATGATCCAGTGAGTTTCAGAAACAGAACTCGGATCTTTGGGATCTGAATTCCATTTCTTCATTTAACCAAAGGGAATTCAGCTCCCTTTGGAGGATGCTCCTACCTCTTGGTAGGAGACAAGAGGGCATCTTCTCAACAGGAAGCAACAGCTTGCAATCTTCCCTGCTGATTTTTTCATTGACTGGAAGAGAAGATTGCAAGTCATGATCAAATGATTGCAGGGCTTTTTGCTACTGGTCATAAGTATGAACAGATTGCAAATACCCAGATTGTGATCATTTCACTGCAAAGGGTGAAAGTGTGACATTTTATAATGACTGGAAGTGCTATATGGGCCATAAAACACCCTCTCTGAATCTGTTGTAACTTTCAATGGACATTAAATAATTGGCTTTTAGTTGAGGACTACCTGCATTTTAAAACACATCCAAAATTGTAAGGGAACTTTTATTTTAGCATGTGGAAACTGAAAACCAAGAACTACTTGTAGGCATCAGCTAGATCAGAGTGACAAACCTAAATTTAGGTCAATGTTCTAGACATTTTTGGAGAACTAGATGGAGTTTGTTGTTAATATACCTTTGCAATCTGCACACACCAGTTGAGAAGGTACTGGGATCCAATGTTATCTTTGTGTTCTCTAACATAGTCAAGAAGGCAGCCATAGGGCATAAGCTGGGTGATGAGCTGGACAGTTGATGTGAGGCAAATTCCCAGCAAACGGCACACATGGGGATTATCAACACTTGCCATCACGTATGCTTCCTAATCAAGAGAAAGAGAAATTACCTACTCTATAAGAAATTACAATATTAGGATATAGCATCTTGTCTCAGAAGGTAAGATCTGCCCCCTCTCTTTCAGATTTCAGGAAAAACCTTAAGACCTGGCTGTGCTGTCTGGCATGGGGTTCTAAAGGAGAAGCTGCTGGATGGAGGCACTAACAGAGAAGGCAGCCTACCTCTCCTCTCAAGACCCTTATTTATAATTGAATGTTGGTTTTATCTTGATGCAAGCCATTCAGAGTCACCTAAACTATGAGATGGGCAGCAAATAAATTTGAGAAATAAAAATAAATAAATAAATAAGTAGTTTATAAATTACTACAATTAATTAATCAACAGAATTAATCTGAATCATGCTAAATTATATGTGGAATGAGAATTAATCTGAAGGCTAGAATTGATACCTGTTATACTTCAACATAGGACAATTATATTTTAAAATTTTCTCTCATTTAAATGGTAATTGCATCAGGATAGAAGTCCAGTAGGAAGAAGTCAGTGTTTTTTTCTCTTCTTTAATATACATGATCTAAATAGGTACAGTATATCCACATATCCAAACGACAACTTTTAACTGTATAATTGTAAACTGCAAATTACCATCTTTGGCTGAATACTGCAATAAAAACAAGGTAGCTTAATTGTAGTAATGTTCAATAAAAATAAAACAAAAACCATTATCTGTTATAACAATTTAATCAGTTTATTTAAATAACAATATAGTTTTTAATTAATCACTCCAACACATATAATGATGCTTCTCTGTCCATTCACTGCAGTAATCTGCTAGGATTCCTGACAATTAATAAATAAATGTATACTACATAAATCATAAGAAAGTAATTTGCCACTAGATTTTCCAAATCTGTAAATTAGATTATAAAGATCTTAATAGGCATTGTACAAATAAAAAATGGAGAATGGGAAGGAAAACAGAAAATATATATGAAATCAACGATATGGTCATAGACCAGAAAAGAGAAAACATATATTTTCACACTTACATTATGGCAATTGTCATTATTTAATGAAGATCATGTTAAGAGAAACCATAACAACAATTAGTCCCAATAAATAAAATTTCACATCTTCTCAAAAGTATCATAGCAAAGCTTTAAATTGGATGAAGAGGAAAGAAACTTGTATGTTCAGTTGCACCTTGAGGCCAACACCTAAACTAAGGACACGTCAATTTTTTCTTTTGATTTCATCTGCTCTAGTTCTTTTTTCTCTGAAAGCCCAATCAAATAATATCTTAAACATAATATATGGAATCACTCATAATCATATAATTGTGCTTTTCTGTCATCAGTCTCACTTAGTCATCTAGAAAGACTCCTCCCTATTTATTTTGCCAAGTGTATATTTTACTGAAGCTTAAATAGTTACAGAAGTAGTATAAACTGAATCTGAGATTTTCACAAACAACACTAGGAAAGTTCCCTCTTTCTCCATTGACTATCCCCCAATTATCATCAAATGTCCAATCAAGAGCTTGTATATTGTTCAGGAAACAAGTGCTCAGTTCTTAGCTCTGCATATCATTAATGATCTTGGCTGGTTGCAGCTTCTCACATGGCTCAGCTGGACTTCCATTCTACCCTTTCTTCACACTCCAATCCTCCCCACTCCCCCTCAATGTCTGGTGACCAGCTCATGAAGCATCTCACTATCCAAGCTTCACCTATTGTTTTTTAATAAACTATTTAAAAAATGGAATGTATTATATGCCTGGATCAAATATACTATATACTATAAATGTTTCTATAAAGATTTTTTAAATAGTTTTTGTTCTGGACTAGCAGGCTTGAAAGCCTGCAACTCTGATTGGCCCGCGAATAGCAGATCGTGATTGGTCACTGCAGACTGATGCGACTGGCTAGTAAACGGGCTGCCACGATTGGCCCAGCCAAGAGCGGCAAACTCAAATCGCCTTCATTGGCTGCCTAGCCGCCGCCAGCCCTATATAAGGGGCTGCTGTGGCTGGGATTCTTTGCTCAGATCTGAAGTCACTAATAAAGAGCTGTTGTTGTTATCTGAGTCTTGCCTCCGTTCTTGAACCATCCTCCCAGATCTAACGCTGGCGACGAGGATGGGATGCGGAGGCAACGAAGTCTACTGATTTTGAACTAGCTGAAGGAGCACATGGCTGACAGAGCGCAACGACGGCGACATGGCCAGCAGCGCTATACCACCCACCCCATTCGATCCAGCTAGCGAGGACTGGGACTCATATATGGACAGATTTCAAATGTTCCTAGAGTCCAACAACCTAAAAGATGCCACGCCCAGCAAGAAACAGGCCATTTTTCTAACCCATTGTGGCCCAGCCGTTTTTAAGATGGCTAAAGCATTAGCGAAACCAGCTGAAGTTAAAATGATGGATTGGGACACCCTTGCTCCCATCCTGCGCAACCATTATGCCCCAGCAGTACCAACGCTCATTCGCAGACACGAGTTCTATCAGAGGGACCAGCGTGAAGGTGAGAGCGTTGGGGATTTCATGGCAGACCTGAGGAACCTGGGCGGTTTATGTGGCTTCGCCAATCTCGAAGAAGCCATGAGAGACCGAATCGTCCTTGGCCTTAGAGATCCAACTGTCCAGAGCAAGATCATGGCCAAGGGAGACATCTCACTTGCAGATTCCATAGCAGACACCACCGCAGCTGAAGCCACTCGTAAATCAGCAGCACAAATGCGCCGAACCAGCGGAACCAACCGCCAACCCACCAACGATGCTGGGAAACCTTCAGACAAGTACACATCGACCACCCATCATGAAGATGTCGAGTCATACTCAGACAGCGAGGAGGAAGAAGTCCACAGACTCCGGACAGAACGTGAGCAACAGGACCAGCGGGGCCGTAAACCCAACTACCAATGTGCCGGATGCGGGGGAAACCATCCTCAATCCGAATGCAGATTCTTAGACGCCATGTGTCTTTTTTGCGAAAAACGAGGGCATATTGCGAAAGTATGCAGAAACAAAGGAAATTCCAGCCCCAGACGGAGAGGGAGGAATGATGGCAACTCCACCACACAGAGGGACTGCCCTGGCCACCAGTGGAACCAGTACAGCAGACCCCAAAAGTTTAATGGCACACCCAGACGAGAAGAGGCTCATCAAACCATCACCATCGGCCACGCTTCATCGCTAGATGCTAAAAAAATCCGTGTAAAGGTCACCATCGAAAATAAACCTTGCATCATGGAAGTTGACTCTGGGTCCTCACTATCCATGGTATCCTGGAAAACGCTCAAGCAACTGTTTCCCAACATCCGACGCCAAGACCTCAGCAGTCAAAGACTCATACTGAAAGATTATCAAGGCAACCGGATTCCAGTCGCAGGTAACCGCCATTTCCAGGTCTCTTTCAAGGGACATAATACAATTCTACCACTCACCATTGTAGACAGAGACCGGCCAAGTCTATTGGGCCTTCAGTGGTTTGCGCCATTAGGAATCGGAATGGCTGGCATCCATCGTACTGAAGACGATGACTGGGAGGCAGCCCTCGTCCACGATTTCTGAGAAGTGTTCAGCGAAAACTTAGGCAAGTACAAGGGGTCCCCTATTTCGTTTAATCTTTGCCCCGACATTGCGCCCATTCGCCTAAAGCCACACCGAGTTCCCTTTGCTCTTAAATCCAAAATTGATGAGCAACTGGACAAATTAATTGCACAAGGCGTGTTAGAACCCATTGACCACGCCCGATGGGAGACACCAATTGTCACCCCCATAAAGCCTGACGGGTCCTTGAGAATCTGTGGTGACTACAAGGCCACCCTCAATCACGTGCTACAGCAGAGTGCCTATCCAGTACCAGTCGTTCAGCATCTCCTGCATTCACTTGGGGGCAGAATATTTGCAAAATTAGATCTGGCCCAAGCGTATCAACAGCTGCCAGTTGATTCCAAAACTGCAGAAGCCCAAACTATAGTCACACATCGTGGTGCATTCAAATGCAACAGGCTCCAGTTTGCAATAAGCGTGGCCCCAGGCATCTTTCAAAGCCTGATGGAGAGACTATTACAAGGCATAAAAGGGGTCGTGCCCTATTTTGATGACGTACTAATAGCAGCCCTAACAAAGAGCCAATTAGAGAAACGCCTCAGAACAGTCCTACAAAGGTTCAAAGATGCTGGCCTCAAGGTTAAGAAGGAAAAGTGCCAGCTATGCACAGAAAGGGTGGAGTTCTTGGCTACCTTCTTGACAAACAAGGAATCCACCCTACAGAAAAGAAATTGGCAGCTATCAAAAATGCCCCAAGACCCAAAAACAAAACTGACCTCCAAGCCTTCCTGGGACTTATCAACTTTTATAACATTTTCCTACCCCAGAAGGTGACTGTTGCTGAGCCCCTTCATAGACTACTTGATAAAAGGGCCTCCTGGATTTGGGGATGTCGGGAGGAACATGCCTTCCAGCAAGTAAAAGACCTCCTTACCTCTGATGCAGTGCTAATTCAATATAATGAGACACTCCCCTTAACTGTTACTTGTGATGCCTCACTGTTTGGGGTGGGGGCCATCCTGAGCCACGTCTTACCAAATGACTCAGAGGCACCAATTGCATTTTTTTCAAGAACTCTGTCAAAAACAGAAAGAAACTATAGCCACCTAGATAAGGAAGCCCTTGGTATTGTCTCTGCGATTAAAAGGTTTCATGAATATGTATATGGGAGACCATTTTCTATTATCACAGATCATAAGCCATTACTTGGCATTCTGGCGGGCGACAAACCTACCCCACACATTCTCTCCCCCAGAATGACGCGATGGTCGGAATTCCTAGCTGCCTACGACTATCAACTAAAATATCGCCCGGGGAAATCTATTCCTCACACTGATGCCTTGAGCCGCTCACCACTACCCGAGCCACAGGAAGACCCAGCTCCCACTCTCCCAGTACTACAGATCAAGACAATTCCCTCACCTCCACTAATGGCCCAGGACATTGCCTTTGAAACCAAAAGAGACTCTTTTTTGGCACGAGTTCTTGGCTGGGTGGAGAGGGGATGGCCAGAATACGAACCCAAGGAAACCTTTAAGCCATTCAAAAACAGACAAAGAGGGTGTGTTTTATGGGGAGACCGAGTCGTCATACCAACTAAACTACAAAAAAAAGTCCTACAAATGCTACACGATGGACACCTGGGCATCGTGCGAATGAAAGTGCTGGCAAGGAGTTACGCCTGGTGGCCAGGTATGGACAAACAAATTGAATCCTGGGTCGCCTCTTGTAACAGATGCCAGGAAAACCACTCAGCCCCACCAAAAGCTCCACCAGCAGAATGGGAAACACCCAGGGGTCCATGGTCATGCATTCATATTGACTTTGTGGGACCTACTAGAGGCCACACTTTCCTAATAACTGTAGATGCGTATTCTAACTGGCTCGAGGTCAATAAAATGAAAACAACCACTACAGACGCAGTCATCAAGAAATTAAACAGACTCTTTGCCACACACGGCCTACCTGATGTCCTGGTTTCTGACAATGGGCCCCAATTTACTGCCTTAGCCTTTGAACAAAACCTAGCTGAACGGGGCATCCGACACGCACTCACATCGCCGGCTTATCCAGCGGCGAATGGTAGGGCTGAACGAATGGTTCAGTTCACAAAGAAAACCCTACAGAAAATGGAACAAGGTAATATCCATGATAAAGTCACTAGAATGCTGCTTCTTCAACACATTACACCTAACAGCACGACTAACAAGAGCCCAGCTGAACTCCTGATGGCCAGGAAACTCAGATCGCCTCTAGACCGCTTGCACCCTGCCTACACCCCGGAAAAGCCCCTGGGTTCCATCAGCAAGCATCGCGCCTTTAAGGTAGAAGACCTTGTATTCGCAAATTTTTTTTCTGGGGATCCCCTCTGGATTCCTGCTCAAATAACTCAAGTCACGGGTCCCCGCTCCTACCGTCTACTGACCACTGATGGCAGAGCGTGGAAATGCCATATTGACCAGCTACGCTCTAGACTGACCACAACTTCCATCCCTGACCCCATCCTCGACATCAGGGGGGAGGGGAAGCCATGAGCCCGGAAATAGAACCAACACCTGTTCATTCAGAACCAACCCCAAGATCGCCACACCATGGCTTTCAATACTCACCAGCTGTAGTTGAACCTGGGCAGACGAACATTTCACCAAGAAACAGCAGCCAAACAGGTTCAGCGAGCCCGGGGAGCCATAGCGGTAGCAACGAAGCTGAGGACTCAAACACCCCAGGGGCATCAGAGGAGAGTCCCAACCATGGCACCGGTTCACCGTTCCAGCTAGATCCAGCTAACAGTCCATCTGAACCCGAATTTGAACATGGACAATTGGAATTGCGTAAGTCGGGTAGACAGGTACGAAGGCCTGCCTACCTGCGAGACTATATAACTCCACCCCTTAAATAGAACCGAGAGGGGAGGGGTGTTCTGGACTAGCAGGCTCGAAAGCCTGCAACTTTGATTGGCCCACGAATAGCAGATCGTGATTGGTCGCCACAGACTGATGCGATTGGCTAGTAAACGGGCTGCCGCGATTGGCCCAGCCAAGAGCAGCAAACTCAAATCGCCTTCATTGGCTGCCTAGCCGCAGCCAGTCCTATATAAGGGGCTGCTGCAGCTGGGATTCTTTGCTCAGATCTGAAGTCACTAATAAAGAGCTGTTGTTGTTATCTGAGTCTTGCCTCCGTTCTTGAACCATCCTCCCAGATCTAACAGGTTTTTTTTTAGTCTGCATGTTTTTATTCCACTGTAATAAATCTAGTATCATAAACATATCTTTCTTTGCTTCCTCTTTTACAGACCTGTATTTCATTAATTATTTTTAAATGTTTTTAACCTATTTCCATGAATTGACTGAAAATTCCAAATCTTTATAAACATTAACTTGAATTCTGCCAAATAGAAATTTGGTCTACATTGGCTGTACTACCTATCAGCCATCAGAATGTGAAACTGTTTTAGTATTTGAAAATGCCTATTAAATTTGATAATATAAAAAGTTTTCAACTCCTTTAAGAAAGAATGCTGAAGCCATTGTGCCACCATGCACTTTTAAAATACTTTGAAAAAATAGACTGAAGTTTTTGTTATTATAGTTTGGAATCTCTAACTTTGCATAACTTTGCTCGTTCTGAAAAGGGACAGCATGCTGTCTACGTATGTGTTATGTTCATAATAGTAACATTTTATAATTATGAAGATAAGATAAAGGAAGGAGAACATTTCTTACGCACTACAAAGTAATTACTTGAAACAAATTAATCTTTTTTAAGGCCACCTAAATGTGCCTTTACTTCGTTTTTGTAAATTTCAATTCATCTACATAAGATTTGTCAAAAATTTACAGTGAAACATTAAATACTATTTGAAGTTATAACAAACCATCCCAAAAGTTATGACCTATTCAAAGTTAAAATAGCTGCAATGGGTCACTTTGGGGCACTTAACAATTGGCACATTTTTATGGCCATTTGCAGCATCCCAGGATCTTATGAGCACAACTGCAATATTTTTGTTGTTTTTTAGTGTTTACTCCTGGTTTCCAGTAAAAAATGCCCATTGGGGAAAATTAATTCAATTAATGACTACCCTATTTGCAAATGGCTGATGCAAAAAATGTCAAAAAATTAGTTTTCATCATGTCATGCCTCAATTTATGACTTAGGACTGTAATTCCAGCGTCAATTATGGGCATATGTCAAGGACTACCTAATGTCATTTGAAGATGTCTAAACACAGTCTCTCTGCCATTAATCCCATTGAGAATAAAAATCAGTTGCAAAAAATACTACCATGACAAAAATATTTTGCCTTCACCAACAATGCCTTAATATTTATCTACATGCTATGAAGTCCCTACAGCTGATATTTTAAAACTTCAGAAAACAAAGAAAAAGAAAGCTTACATCAAGAATTTCTTTGTTAGCTTTGGGTGATGTAGCCTCTCTTAATTCCTTAATGGCTACAGGAATTTTAACTTTTTCTCCTTCTGGGATCCAGAGACCCTGTTAAAAAGATCAAAATGGGTAAACTTAAAATAAATTAAGACAATTAGGAAATAAAATAGATTATGAACAGACTTCAATACATCCATATAAATTACATGGTTTCTAGATAAATTATGACAGTAGATATAAAGATACCATATATTTTAAAATGTACAAATATTTGAGTGTGCAACAGCATGATTCTATGTACATTTATGTTGTCAATGGGAGTTAATTCCAAATAAGTTTATAAAGAACTGGTTTTTTACTTATATACAGACACAAATACACACATATTTAGAAAAGGTTATAATTTACCTGATAGACAGTACCAAAAGCTCCAGAGCCAAGTACTTTTACTTTTTTAAATTCTGTTTCTTTTAAGATTCTTAGAAGTGCTTGGTTTGGTGCTTCCCCACTTGGTGTCAAAGGTTCAACAAGCTATTGAATAAAAAAGGGCATGGTTTAAGAAGAGACAATTTCTTTTTAACCATAATAGTGTACAAGGCAGGCTGGTTTTTGAAAAATGTAAAACTATTCAAAACCTATTTGTGCTATATTATAAATCCATAACAAACTACTTGGCTGAGAAACAAAAGATCAGCTTCCTCATCATTAGAAATACCATCATGATCTTATTTATATTATAATACTTCTAATTATATTAGGAACTAATATTTAGAAATATGTGGTTTCATCCCAGAGAGAAAGCTCATGATTCCTATTAAAACAAATATGGAATAACAGACAACTTAGAAAGTGTCTGAGATGCTAGTGCATTGTGAGTCCATACTAGTTAGTTCTCTTCTGAATCATCATCATCATCATCATCATCATCATCATCATCGATAATAATAATAATTTATTTATTTAATTTATATTGCTGCCTATTCGCCCATGGTGACTTGAGGCGGCTTACACAATGTAAAACATGTTTAAAACAAAAAATAACAATAACAATAAAAAACAATAAAAACTAACAAAAAGAATTAGTTATATTTACCTCTCTTTCTTGCAGCAGTCTGCGCAAAGTACGTTTTCTAACAATCCGTCGTCTACGCACAAAAAGACCAATACCCAGGGCTATAACAACTAAGCAAAGAATGCTCCCAACAACTCCAGCTGCAATGGATGGGATTTTAGATCTACAAAACAGAAACAGTTATTATTGCTTCAATGTTATTGATAAAGCCAGTTCATTGTCATACGTGAGCAGTTAGAGCAGGGGTGTCAAACTTGTGACCCACGGGCTAGATGCATCACATGCTGGTCCCACCCGCACCCAGTTTAGCGAGGGGGAGGGAAAGTCCCAATACATCATATGATGACACTGTAATGATGCAAGTTTTATACCACTGATTTAGAGCATTATTCTTAAAAGGAAAGGGAATAAAATATAATTTGATATGACAAAATATTCAGGCAGTGGGTTCCCCCAATGCAGTCTAAAGCAATGAAGTTGCAATGGACTGTGAGAAAACCCTTGAAGAACAGGAAGAAGGCTTGTAGCTTTGACAAAAGTCTGATAAGAGAAATCTGAGTCCAAAGCAGGAATAGGAGAAGAGAAAACACTTCAGAATTGACCCTCCTTAGCTCTCTGGAACATAATGGTACAGGAAAGAGGAAGCACTGTCAGCACGATTTTGTTGCTGTAACCATAAATAATAAAGGTAATATTAATATTATTGGTTTTAGTTTCCTGGTGTAGACTACTGAATGAAGAACATGTATGATTTGTGAAATTCAATGGCATTTCTGTAAAATTATGACTATCAAACTATAATTTGATATGCATCTTCATATTTGCCAAACATAAAAATAAAGTTATATCATCTGTATCTATCAATACAGCTACTAAGATAGTAATTCTCTATAAATATACCAACACTTATATTTCCATGAAGGGAAACAAAAATATGCTCATCTCATATATTATTATGGAATTTTCTATAATTAGAAAATTAGCTATAATTATAAAAATAGACATTAGGAAAATTAATGTTGTACAAAACAAATATATGATTATGTGGTTAGAACCTAAGATGCAACTCTAGCATAGTGGAAAGTTTATATCCATTAATTGATTTTTAAAATATGATTAGATTAATGATCTTTTTCCTATTGTCTAATATTTTTGTGCTATGATTTGAATACAGTGAATACATTACCTCTTCCTTATTGACCATTCATATTAAAATCTGTGTAAACTGATATAAACTAATAGTGGATCTGGGTATCTTTTCTAAAGCTACAACTAAAGAAACAAACTTTGTTACAAGAATCCATTTTATTAAAAACTGCTTTGTTTTGCCACAATATTCTTGGCTTAATAGGACACAGCTATAAATGGACATCTGATTTTACATTAGTTAACAACAATTACCCATTAGGACAGCCTTCGGGTCCAGGTCCTTTGCATCTACAAATGCAAGGAAAATAAAAATGATTAGCAATAGAATTAAAAAGAGAGATATTTTAATTTAACATTTAACTTTTTGCCCTGTGAACATCTGTAATTATTTTGTAAGAACATGTGATTATTAATAAATAAAGTACTTTGGCAGTTATCAGGAATCTTGTACCACATGTTTTTATTCAAGGGAGGTTCTGCTTAAGCCAAAGCTCTGAATTTGACTAACCTGCAACATCCTATCCCAAGTTGCTTTTTCAAGATGCAAATGGACAGATGAAGGCCAACTTGGGATAGCATATGTTCTGAGGACTTCCTTGGTGTGTTTTATTTCTTTTTCTTTCCCATTTTTGCTGGTAGGCAGGCCTTCAGCTCAGTGATTAGGGTTCTGATAACTTTTATTTTGTGCTCCAGAGGGTGGATCACACACAGATCAATATTTACATTTTGATTCTTTTGGTGAGAACCAAATGGGAGCACAAAATGAGAGCACAAAATGGGAGTTATCAGAACCCTACATTACCAAGCTGAAGGCCTTCTTCAGCAAAGAAGTTTGATAAATGAATGAATAAATAAATAAATGAATTTATTGACTTGCTGTTACTATTTAATAAGAAACAATAATAGATATTCTGTCTTTTTTCTCTAACAACTTCACAATCAAGACCTAAGCAATCATTTAAATAATTCCGTAAGAAATATTTAAAGTTCTATCTTTATTCTGTCAATGGAAGTAGGTAGGTGAGACCAAGAAATTTTGTTTATTATCAATATTTATACAACTTTAAATTATATCCCCAGATGATTAAGAATAAACCAATTAAAACACCATCTTTTATGGTGATCATAGTGGTATACAACTCAAAATGATCTTAAGCATTATTTCACATTTATCAATCAAATTAATTTTGTAAAAATGCTTTTTACAAACCACAAATGTAACTCTGAAACAAAGCTTGATGATGTGATTCTAAATGATTGTGTCAGATACACCATTGTGTCCCGCTGTTCTGTTGGAAAGGGAGGGAAAGGCTGGCTGGCTGCTGGCATTTTTTGCATGTTTTCTCTTTTGCTATAACTGCTTGGGAATTAGGATGGGGATTGTCTTTGGAGATGGAGCAGATTCCCTCCCAGCCAGTTCTAGCCTGGTTCCAAGGTCGTCTTGCCCTGAGAGTGACCTGTTATCTGCCTAGCACCAGTGTTCTCAAAACATCCTTGCAGCATCACATTGGCTGCCTGGTAGACTGATTGAGGGCTGGGTTTGGGGAAACAGAAGAATTGCTTTGTGCTTTGCATGGGACCTTCAGATTCCATGTGACTTTATTGTAACCACTTTCTATCAGTAAAAGTTCTTTCAATTCAACTCAATGGAATCAAGAGTTGTGCTTTCCTGAGGGACAAGCTGGGCCAGGTCCTTACATTATGTGAAATCTGAAGGTCCCATGCAAAGCACAAAACAATTCTTCAGTTTCCCTTGAGCTTTTCCTGTTCTGGCTGTTGTTCCCATCTCGGCCTCCACAGCTGCCTTAGGGGAGAGTTATCCTTTTGGTTCTTCCTTCCCAGTCTTCTATCTTTCTGACACCTATGTACTACCTGGGTCTTGATCAGTCTCCCAGGCTCCTGATTTCCTCTCTCCATTTGAAGAGGTCCAGCACGGGGAAGCATCATCTTAATAAGCTCCCCCTCTGAAGTCACCTTCCCCTACAGATCTAAGCTTCCACCACCACCTAAGCCAGTCATAAAAGAGATATTTTAGATTCCTGTAAACTTAGGGGGAACCTTCAACATTTAGTAGCTTGGAAGGATTTCGCAGAAGCCCAAATTGAATGGTTTGACTAGCACCATGTTAGGGATCCTAAATGTGTAAAGTGCTTTCATAATCAATATGCTGATAATATCCTAAATATTTTTTTCTGTTTTAACCTTCTCTCTCTTTTTATTTTGTTTTGTTATACAGGGCTAATGTGGCTATTTAGGTGGACAGCATATCAGATATACCATTGTGTCCTGCCATTCTATTGGGGTGGGGTGGGAAAACTTGCTGGCATTTTTTGCATGGTTTCTCTTTTGCTGAAACCTCTTGGGAATTAGGGAGGGGGATTGTCTTTGGAGACAAAGCAGACCCTCCCAGCCAGTTACAGCCTGGTTGCAAGGCAGTCATGCCCTGTGAGTGACCTGTTACCTGCCTAGCACTTCAGCATTCTGAAAACATCAGTGTGGCATCACATTGGTTGCCAGTGGACTGGTCAGGCGGGTCGGGTTTGGAGAAATGGAAGGATTGTTTGTGCTTTGTGTGGGATCTTCAGATTTCATCTGGCTTTACTGCAACCACTTTGTCACAGTAAAAGTTGTTTTGATTCAACTCAATGGAGCCAAGAATTTTGCTTTCCTGAGGGACCAGCTTGGGACCGTGCAAAAAATGCCAGCAAGCCTTCGCCACCCCCAATAGAATGGCAGGACACAATGGTATATCTGATATGCTGTCCACCTAAACAGCCACAGACTGGCTAGCTTATGCCCCCAAACAAGCAAAGTAATACTGTCTTTTAGTTCAAACTTTATTCCTGGGGATTGTGGACACATCTTTGTGTTTTGTTTTGTTTTGGCAATAGTACAAAATAGTTTGCTGCTCCCTTTTCTGAAATGTTTTTTTACTTTCCAGTCTAGACAACAGTCCTAGTCTATCTTCAAGCTTTCCTATCTCTGTGGCAAATCCCTATCAGTATACATATAATAATCGATGTTAAGTGTAACGTTATCTCTCTCTGGCTTATTACTGGCAACTGCAATGATAAAAAAGGAACAATTGTACTACCTAATACATTGCAGCATCATTATGACAAAGCGACCCATCAAAACTATTAACCAATGGTCATTTTATATTGGAAAATAATAGCTACACCATCATCTTGAAGAGTGATCAAATTATCCTAAGTAAAATATTCTATATATTGAATTTTGAATTAATCTTTATAAATTGAATTACTTTAATAATCTCTGCATTCCAAGTTTTCCATCAGTTTATTCAATCATATTTCATTGAGGATCACTCTTAGAACTATAACTTTAGAACATGAACCTATTTTGTGTTATCTTATGTGATTACATTGCTTTTAAAAATATGGCAATACATGTAATTACATCAAGATGTTTTCATTCATGATATCCTAACCACATGACTGTCATTTTTGAAGAAATAATTTCCATGTGTGTGGCATGTTTATACGTGTAGGGGTCCAAATCTGTATAACATTCCTAGAGAATATTCCTAGGAGCACATTGTTCTGATAACCAGGATCCTTGTGATTATGTCTACTTAGATCATGTATGGTTAATGTTCACACACACACAAAATCCTATATGACTAGTGTAATGTTTCAAGGAAGTCATGTTTGTTTTCACATAAGGATTTCTCAGGAATAATACATTGTTGGGTATATGTTGGCAGGACTATTAATTACACTGACCAAGAACTCACTCAATTTAAAGACATACTTGATATCAAAGAGGATATAGCTTACCCCATTTTTCAGTGTATAAGACGCACTCTTCCCACAAGTGAGTAGAAATTTCTGTGCGTCTTACACAGTGAATGTTGCCAAAGTCCAGGCCACCCACAGCTCTCTACCCTTTGGCCTCTGCCTCCTAGCAATTTGCCTCCTTGCAGCAAGCCAGATCAACTTCAGGACAGCCTGATTTAGCACAAGTAGTTGATTGCCTCCTAACAATCAGCTCTTTCAGCCTGCAAGGATCGCTATTTCCTATTGCCACTTTCGTGAGCCCAATTTTTGACCTCCACATCCCATTTTCGGCCTCTGTGCACCCTGTTTTTGGCTTTCACGTGCCTCATTTTTGGCTCGTTCTGATCCCTCCCACCTGGGGCACGTAGAGGCCAAAAACAGGGTGCACAGAGGCCAAAAATGGGATGTAGAGGCCAAAAATGGAGTACACAGATGATGGCAATCCCTGCAGCCTGAAACAGCTGATCGTTGGGAGGTATATCCAACCGATAATCAGCTGCTTCTGCTAAATCAGGCTGTGTTGAAGCTGATCAGACTGTTTACTTCAAGGAGGCAAATTGCTGGGAGGCAGCATCTTATATTCTGAAAAATACAGTATGTGATTTTATAACTGACCTATAATTTGCTGTTTTATTCTGGATGAAATGTGGTAATCAGTATATTATAAATTATAAATTCAGCACATGTGGCTATGATATATTTCATTTTATATACTTGTCTGCTCCTTCAAAATATCACAGTTCCATAAAACAGTATCTATGGAATGCTGTACAACTTCAATAAATCAAATCATGCAGAGTTCACTAAATCTGAACATATGCTTTTGTACCAATTTGTTATTCCACAATTGAAATCAGTGGCACCATTTACCATAAAACTGTAATTTAATGGACATTTATCCACTAAATGTGAATGAATAATTTGTCCCTTGTATTTGAAATCCACTAAGTTAAGATTGATTAAACTGAGAGTTTTCAGTAGCTTAAATGACATTTAAGGAAAAACTAGGATTTTTTCTTGTGGAATACTGTCATTACTGATACCAAATTAGAATTACCAGTATAAAATCAATAGGATTTAATCCCTGTAGACTGGCTGTGGGGTAGTTGAGGAATGAGCGCCATCCATGGTGAAGGTTTCCCTTTGGGCGACCCTCCTTCTCTTCCTTTCCCCTTCCTTTTCTTGCGATCCCCTGGATGGCTGTGGTGGGCCTGGGAGAGTGCACACATGTGGAGAGACCGTCCTTATGTGAGTGGCTGCCCACCCTGCACATGCCTTTGCTACACTTTGGGAGACCCCAGAGACTCGCTTAAGTTTCTCCCCGCGTGTGCACACCCTCCTGGCCCCACTATAGCCAGTCAGGGAAGTCTCTGCTGTGGCTGGTGCTCATTCCTCAGCCAGCCAGGATTTCCCAAAAAAAGAAATAAAAGGAGTAGCGAAGAGCCCCAAGGAGAGCTTGCTGGCTTGGCCCAGCCTCAGCTTTATGAGACAGAGGGAGGGAGAGAGACACACACAGAGAGAGAAAGACACACACACACACACAGAGAGAAGCAGACAGATACACACACAGAGAGACAGATACAGACATAGAGAGTGGGGGAAAACAGGATGATGGGTGAGCATCTTTGGTGAGGCTGTTCTGGCTTTCTCCATGCCTGACCCCCGGGGTGGGTGAGTGAGGTTCAGTGGGGCCAGCCCCCTTTTCCTGCTGCCCTGAGCTTCTTAAAGCCATGGCTGGGCGCTGCAGGCCCATTCCGATGTCCCCTCCTCCTGGATCCCATTCTCATCCTGCCAGGCCTCGTGTTAGTGAGGCCAGCATTGGTCGCAGCCAGTTGGACCAGTGTCTCGGGGCGAGAGCAGGTTGTCCATTTCCCCAAGTGACAGAGGCAGACCCAGCACCAACAAAGGCCAGAAGAAGCTCCAGCAAGAGTGAGGCACCAGAGAATCAGCCCTGGCTGCTTCTCCATCTCCCATCATCACCCTTATCTTCTCAGGCCAGGTGAGGGAGGGGAGGGGAGGGTCAGGGTCAGGACCAGCCAGTGATGGGACAGGGAACTGAGCAGAGGGCCTAAAGAGCCACATACAGCTCTAGAGCCATGGGTTGCCAACACCAGTTATAGGCCTTTATAAAATGAAGAACATAAATAGCTAAAGAGAATAATCACAATATCTTATGGACTTCTAAAAAGTATCAGTATAGCTATGAGAAGAAGGCTTAAATCAGAAGAGAATGGCAATATTGGGCAACATTACAATAATGCTTTTACTCATGTATTGATTAAATTTCCTCATTAAAGTTGATGTTTGTTCTCTGGAATAAAACTGACTATATACCAAACTAAAAATATTTTAAACCATAAAAATATAAAGAGATAAATTATAGGATCAGTTGTATTTATGTTTGATTGTGCATTGATTAAGTTAAGGTTCCATTTTGTTCATAAATTGAATTTTTTTATACATTGTAATTTTATGTTATCCTTTCCATTAAGTTTCAATTTAAAAAAAAATTACTTACCCACGAACACAATTCGGATGGCATAACTGACATATTAAATTTTCATCTGGGTATTTCCAGACTAAGGTATCATTTTCTCCCAAAATGCCAGCAGGACATGATTTAACACAATGTGGACCATCTTTTACATGAGCACACCTCAGGCAGTTGCCAGGACCCTGGACAACAAGCACAGCATTTTTTGTGGATATGAAATACATTTGCGTGTACATTAATAAATAAGTGATCGGGCTTTGTCACATGTGTGAAACTTCAAAAATTGACAAAAAAATCTTGCAGGGTGACAATGATGGATTTTAAAATCTGAAATATCTGCAGGTCAGAAGATAAAATGTATGTATCTTTTATTACTTCAGTATCATAATGATTTTTGAAACACAATTATTTTCAAAAATTCTATTATTATTTTTATTTTTCTACACCTTATGCTAAATATTTTGTACTAGAGATTTTAAAGAAAATACTAATAATATATTTATTTTGTACAAAAAGCCAGGGCCATCTGCTTCATCTAATTACAATTATAAAGATAATTCAGACTGATATTTTTCTAATGGGCTAATCAAGACATTTAAATATATAATGTCTTCTCTCCCTTCCAAGGAAAATGAATCAAATCCAATTTGCTTGATACCCTTCCTGATTAGTTGCAATGAAAAATAGACACAAAGTGCTTAGATGAATTATTTGTAAATAAAACAGTGATTGCAGATCTCCAACTGTGCCCTACTCTACCTTTTCAATTTCTCAGAAGAATTTAAAGGAAAAAGAAGGAATTTATTCGTGCTTAACATTTTGTAGCAGCATCTAAAAGTGATTAGAAAGATATTAGGGAATGTTTTCATGATGCTAGAAATTACTAGTGAATAGTTATTATTAGCATTATAATACTGAGGGACATCTGAATACTGAGTACAATTTTCTACAATTTCAGTACTATAAATAAACATACAAAATATTTGATTTTGTGCCAATCTGAAGTTTACAATATAAATTAATTTCCTCATAATCTTACCAATTTCCCAAAACCTTTTTGATTTGAGGTTAGAGGTTCATCCTCTAAGCTTGTGGTTTTTGGTTTCTACAGGCTATGTATCATCTTCAGTGGAATATAGGGAACATCAGTGCTGATGTTCTTCTGCTACTAAGGACTTTGTGTGCTCAGTAGGGGTTCTGATGAGAGAGTCACACCAAGTAAGGGTCTTGTGATGGGTAGATCACATCAGGTGAGGGTGATTGGGAGGAGAAATGCTGTTTGGGGGGTTGTGTGGATTGGCCGAAGGTTGGTGTTGTTGCTTGTTGGTTGTGTGGCTGATTTGAATTCTCAAGCGTTCATAGGCTGGTTGTAGGTCCATGTGTTGATGGAATTGCTTGTGGAGTGCTTGGCTTCAATAAACTCACAAACATGGCAGGTAATAGTGAGGCTGATGATTCTTGTATAGCTCCAACTGAATTGGTGCATTTGATGTCAGTGTGGATATCAAATAGGGATTTGGGAACACATCAATTGACTGTCAGCTGGTGTTTATGATTTTCAATTGACATGTTTATCCCACGTAGAATTGTTTGCAATTGTTAAAGTTAATTTTGTAAATTATATCGTTTCTTTCATCCTTCTGCAACTTGTCTTTGTTTCTGGATAATTACTGGTGGAGTATGGCTGTGGGTTTGTGGGCTATTGTTATTCCTAGAGGTTGGAAAATTCTGATCATCATTTCTGATACCCCTTTTGTGTATGGCAGGATGTTTTTGTGGGATGGTTGGCTCTGTGGTGTGTTGTAGTTTGGGGCTGTGTTTCAGAATACAAAATTTTTCAGATAGCCATTGCAGAGAAAGATGGCGAAGAAGGTCAGGATGCAACTTCTTTTGTGTGCAGTGAGGTAGTTGCTTGCAGAGCCGAGGATCTGGTCCATGTGAGTTGATTTGTGATAGACATGGGTTTCCAGTTCTCCGCTGTCTAGTCCAGGGATCGCCAACCTTTTGGACCTCAGGGACCACCAAACTCATAATTTGAAATCCCGCAGACCAAAACCTCTGGGAAAATCCCCCAAAAAGTCTGCAGGAAAATTCCCCACCCCATTTTCCTACCGATCAATAATTCTTTATTTGGGATTGCAGGATACCATCTCCAGCTCTGTTTTCAGGGGGAGAGAGAGTGTGTGTGAGAAAGAGAGAGAGTGTGTGTGAGAGAGACTTTTGGCTTCATGCAAGGAAAACAGCAGAAGCAGCAGAAGTCTTTCATTCTCTTCCCCAAACTCCACCAGAAATGAGTCTTTGTGAGACTTGACACGCTGGTGCAGCCTCTTGGAGCAGGATGCCTTGCAGGATCCCAAAGACTCATTTCTGGTTGAGTTTGGGGAGAGAAAGAAAGACCTTTCCTGCTTTCCTTGCATGCAGCCAAAAGCAGAAGAAGAAGAAAGTGGAAAGAAGCAGCCCAGTGGCCAGGCGAGATGCTTGGGGTGAGTGGGGCAAGTTCCCCCCTCCACCCTTTCCCTCTCCCCTCACTACCTTGTGTTGTTCACAATGTAAGCAATGCAAGCCTTGCGTTCCCATGGGCCATATGGATGGTGAAGGCTTGTGTTCCCAAGCAGCCTGGATTAATTGCTTTGGGGGGTGCTTTGGAGGTGCTTTGCATTTCTCTGTGGACCACCAAAATTTTCTCACAATTGGCGACCACTGGTCTAGTCTTCTTATGTCAAAGTCAAGGAATGGGATTCTTTTGTCTGTTTCCTTTTAGCATATGAATTTGATTCCGGGGAATATATTATTGAGTAGGTAGTGTTTTTCTTCAATTTGGTAACATTTGATGATGATGAAATTATTGCCAATGTAGCATGTCCCAAATTTTGGTTAGATGGTAAATAAGGCTATGAATTTGAGTCGTTGCATGACTGCTTCTGCTATTAGGCCTGATATGGATGATTCCATCAGGGTTGTGATGACCCAGGGCACAGTACAAGATCACACAAACAGCTGGCAGTTCAAACCACCCTTTATTGCTTCAAAGTTCCCCAAATGCTTGCACATTTCTAGCAAGTCTTGAGCAGAATGATAAGAAAACCCCACATAAACCTCAAGCAACTTCTGTCTGAAATTAATCCAGCCCAGCGCTGTCTGTACCAAGGCTGCTCAGCAATAAATCCAAAGGTATTGGGAAATCAAGAAGTTCAAGGAACAAAAGATCCAGGTAATTAGTCCAAAATGCCCACTGGAATGCAAGGACTCTTGGCCAGTTCAAGCATTGGCATGCACACTTCAGAAACTCAGCATTTGTTCAGAGGAGGAAGTGACATCATGGCAATACCAGTCTCAAGGGAATGGAGCTCTCCATCCCTGAGGTGGCTTCTCCTTATTCATGAGCTCCAGAGGGGCCAAAGCTGCCTTGGAGGGGCAGTAAGCAAAGGAGGGGCATCCTGCGAGGTTCCAGGGGAGAATGCAACTCCTCTGTAGAACCCCAGGGCTTTCTATGCCATGGTAAGGAGAAGAGACAGCCAAGAAGAGTGCTGGAGCAGAGTCAGTGAACAGTGTCTGGAACTGAGTGAGAAGAATCCTTTTTATTTAAAGTGCAACCCCGAAAAAGAAGATTCAGAAAAAGAGAGACTCAGAACTATCTTTAAAGTGGCAGTAACCTAACACAATATTATTTTATTTGTATTAAATAAGTTGTAAAATGTGATTAGAAAGGGAACATTTTTTAAACATAATAGTGGCATAATTAAAAATCAGAAAGGGGATAAATAATGGAAGATTATAACTCAATATAAATTTGTGAATTATTATTAGAATTACATAAGTCTGTTAAACACTACAAATATGATTAATAATATTTTATTTGTAGTAAAAAGAGGGCTGTTTAGAATATGGAATTGACACAAAAATAATATACTGAATGATAATCAAAGAATGAAAGTACAATTTAATAAAATATGTGTATTAATATTAAATTTTATAAGATTGTCAACTGTATTAAATATGAAGAATATTGTCATATTTGTTTTAAAATGTAGGACACTCCGGTGCCACACTGTTCACACAACAATATGTTTGTAAAAAACAAGAAAAAAAAACATTATACTTAAGAAAAAGCATTTGTTCCCAACAAATGTCCCTCCCCACAGTGTCTCCTTAAGTCTCATTCCCCTGGTATGCCTTTTGAAGATGGGCGGGGCATTCTCATCACCTGTAGATGCTTCATCTGCACTGATCACGCCTCCTCTCCACTCTCTGAGCCCTCAGTTCAGGAGGGAATGGTCCTGGCTTCTCGCTTGAGCTCCGTCTCTCATGTTCCTTCTGCCTCTGTTCACCCCGCCTTCAGGCCTTACTACTTCAGAAAACGCTTGCCTGGACTGATTCTGCCTTCCCCAGTTTCCTCCAAGGCAATGGAGCTGCCCCCTCAATGTCTGGCAGTTCCTGTTACAGTTCATCTTCCCCCTAGATTCAGACTCGGACGGGGGCATGACAAGAGTGCCTTGGTCTTGCTTACAGATTTTCCCATTGAATTTGAAGCATGTATCGATCCAGAAGTTTCATGATGGTTTCTATGGACATGGAGTGTTTCTGTGAAGTCACCTTTGTAGGTATGGTTTTGATGAATAGGTGATATATGGTTTGTTTAACCAAGTCAATGTCAATTGAGATGAAATGTGCAGTGACATCAAAGGAGACCATGATTTCTTCCTTGTTGATCTTTATGTACTTAATGAGTTGAAGAAATTGTTCTAGGGAGTTTATTGAGTGAGTTGAATCATTAACCAGGTGTTTGAGTTTCCTCTGCAGAGTTTTTACTAATTTGTACATCAGTGTTCTGGGTAGAGCATAACTGGGCATAAGGAGATCCCATTCTTGTTTATTTTGGGGAGTCCATAGAATTTGGGTGTGGAGGAATCTTGTGGTTGCATGTGTTTCCTCTCTAATAAGGTTAGCTATTTTTCTTTTTCCATTTTCCTTAGGGCTCTCTATTTTGTACTCTATGTATTTTGTTGGTTCACAGTGGATTATTTGGTAGGTGTCAACACCATTTAAATGGTTTTCAGCTTATAATCAGTTTTTCCATGACCACAGTCATCTGCTGGTGGAATGACGATGATTTTATCTTGTTTCAATTTCTTTAGTGCTCTTTTCTCTTTTTGGTTGAGTGTTTTGTTTTGTTGCATTGTATATTGGGGTTAATTCTTTGCCTAAGGTCTTCTTGTGTTTCTTGGTCCATGTGGTTTGTTTTTAGAATGGATCTGAGGTTGGTTAGGAATTCAATGGGATTGAATTTTTACATTTATATTTTATTAAATTATGAATTATTGTAAAATACAAAATACAAATGAGGACAATGAGGGGGAAGGGGAGAGGGGAAGAAAAGTGAAGAAAGGTAAGGAAAGAAAAAGCATTGACTTCTGATTCTCTCTGTTACAGTAGAATAAGGCATTAACAACAGATCACAACTTTTTGCTTTTCCATAATAATATGAACAAGTCATTTCTATGAAAATCTATCAAACTAATCTGTAAAACTCAAAATCAATTTTTCATTCTTTTCCATATCAAGCACGATGTATACTAAAGCCGAGGAACTTGAATCAGAAGGTTACGTTTGTCATTGATTTACTTATCATCAACTGAAAGAAAGGTTCAAAATGAATAAAAAGTGTTATAGATTTGACTTTGTAAAGAATGAATTGGAAATTTCATTATGTAGTAACAGTGAACATATTATTGCTAAAATTTATAAAATTGAAATTGAATTTGGAAATGAACATGTAAAACATTGTATAATTTAGTGGGCAAGGACTTTTGGATATAAGGTGATGCTCAAACAATGGGAAAATATGTGGACGAAGGGTCTAAAGTTTACATTAAATTATAATTTAAAATAATTTCTATAAGATGATGTATCATTGGTACTTAACACCAGATAATTTATCTAAGCCGTATAAAGATATGTAAAATGTATGTTGGAAGTGTTAAAAACAAAGAAGGGACTTTTTACCATCTATGGTGGACATGTGACAAAGCAAAAAAAATTTAGACTATGATTCATATTTTAATACAGAAAATCCTGAAATTGGAGATAAAAATGAAACCAGATTTTTCTTCTTCTTGGGTCTAATGGAAAAAGAACTGGAGAAAAAAAATGGAACTTTGTTATTATATATGTTGACAGCATCAAGACTATTGTATGCATGAAAATGAAAGGACTTTGATTCCTACTATGTAAGAATTGTTGCAGAAGTTGATGGGAGTTGGCTGAAATGGCAAAATTGACTACTTTGATTAAAGAAAAGAACATAAGTACTTTTGTTTCCACATGGAAACCACTTCTGATTTCATGAAGCCATATATGAGAATGGTCTTTCTTGTCATCTGATGGGGAGGTCTGCTGGATAGACTTTTGATTCATAGCTCTGAGTTGTTTTCATGGTTTTGGGGTGATGGTATTGAGTTTCTCCTGTAATGAACTGCATTTTTGCATTTGTGTTTTGTTAGCATTCCTGTGGATCATGCATTCTAAGGTGTTTGTCAGGTCAATTCTGATGGAGTTGAAGGAATGTGGTTTTTTTGTTCATCAATGATGTGTTGGCAGTTGTGGGCCTCAGTGATCATGAATCAAAGCATTTTGCATCTGTTTTGGAAGACTAGTTTCTATGTTTATGGGTAGTTGATCAGAGCTCCATAGTTTTTGGGGGTTGTTTGTTTGCAGAGAAATTTGTGGAAGAAGTGTAGCTGTTCGAATATTGGCAATCATCTCATAGCAAAACTCTCCCAGTGGCGGGAAAGTCTGAGCTCTGCACGCCCATGTACATTTGCAATAATGGAAAATATCTGTAGCTTGTGTGTAGGATGAGGGTGAAGGTTTATTCCTTGAGTTTTTGGGTTGGTTTTTGAATGTTTCATTACCAAGCTAGGTAACATCTTCAGCAGATGTTAACTTTTTTACCATCTCCCTTTTAATTTTCCCCTCCAATGTTACCTGAGGAAAATATCTCTACTGGGAAAAATGCCCTTCCCCAGTAGGTGACACCCTTGCCTCGTGGCAATCTGAGTTTATTCTTTTTCATTTCAGAATGCAGCCTGTGTGCAAATTCCATGCACTTTGCAGCAAGCATGATATTTGGCTGAAACCAAATGAGCAGAGACATCATTGGTTGTAAAACTCTTCAAAATATTTTTCAGCAGTTTTGTATGCATTGTCCAGAACAACTTCTCTGCTCCATTCTGCATTAAACAAATTTCCTTCTTTTTTCTGATCTCCCTGAAAAACATGTTATTTGAATTCAGCTAATAGTGACAACACTGAGACATATATGGGTGTTTTGTTTTTACTTCCCAATCAAATGTTCCACTGAGATTATACTGTGATTCCTGCATCTAATCAGTTGCAAACCTGCTTAGATTTTTGAGATCAGTTCCTGTAGGTTCTAGAACCTTTCTTAGTTGGTGATTGCTGTTCCTAATTCTCTTGAAACCTGTCTGGTTAGTTTTATGGCATTCTTATTATGTTATTCGCAGTTTGTAGCAATTGGGATTACACAAGAATTGTAATTTAATGCAATATTTTAAGACAAAGCAGCATAATTTAAATCCCAGACTTAAAGCCACTACAATTAAAATATTTTAAAACAATATTTAATATTTATAATATTTAATATTTATATGTAGTATTTTAAAAATACTATTGATAACTAATATTTGAAATTATAGCTACAAAAGATAAGTATGTTCTAAATCTGCTCTGCTTTCCCTGTTATAGTTTTGATGAAATGAATAAGGAAGCCTATACAGGCAAATAAATTATCATATAGGCTGAGAAAAACAGTTTAGGATTGGATAATTTTAGGTCCCTACAGTAAAATTATGTGCATCTTTTGAATACTAATCTTTTATTTGTGAGCACATTGATATCTGCATGGGACAACAATATAATATACACAAAAATTCTAATAAACTGTCAAAGTAAGTGCACTTACAGGTCCTGTGCAAGATAAATATGGTTCAGTTGCATTTTGCACAAGGCATTCTGAATGGCACTGAAAGCACTCCGAATTTTGTTCATATTCTCGAGGCATTCTAAAAGAAATATAAAAAGAAATGTCATATGTGTATGTGTATGTATGTATGTATGTATGTATGTGTGTGTGTGTGTATGTATATGTATGTATGTGTATATATATATATATATATATATAT